AAAACTGAGAGTGAGTGAGTGGCTGGAGAAACCCCAGGACAAGATCACGCCCAGGGATGCAGGAAAGGGCTTGTTGCTGTCAGGCAGCTCGGCTGGGCCAGCTGTGTCTCCAGCTGCAGGTCTGGGCACTCCAGAAGATAATCTCCATTTTCACTGGACTCTCTCAGTCTCTCCAAGTGTACAGATAACAGTGCAGTCCACCGGTGTTAAACAATGGAAGAAGGACATTGGGTGGTTCCCCCTGCTGCCCAAAATACCAGCGTTTCCTCCTTTTCCTGTGCCAGCTCCAGCCCCCACCAGCTGCTCTGGGCTGAGGCTTCACTCCAGCACTTGCTCCTTGTCCATCAGCACCCAGAAATGTCACCAGGTCTGTCCCACCCGCAGTGTTTCCTCTGCTGTTCACAGCCAGCTCCTCTCTTGCTGGCTAAGGAATTTTCTCACTTCTCCTAAGCTCTACTCAGTTCCCTTTCTTGGCAGCAGCATTTCCCTGCTCCTGCTCCTTCCTCCATCCATCCATCCATCCATCCATCCATCCATCCATCCATCCATCCATCCACCCCTGCTGCTTACAGGTGGCCAGCATCATTCCCACCTCCTGGTGAAGCAAGTTTTACTGGCCACCTCCAAAATTTGGGGATGCTCTGGTTGGTGATCCCTAGGTTAGAGTGGAGGGGGTAAAGAGCTGCCCTGGAATGTCCCTTGGAAATAAATGTTCAGGATTGGGGTGCAGATGCTCCTCATGGAATACTCGGTGTGAGGAGCAGGTCTGTGGTCCTGGGCAGACCATGAGTGCAGATGGAGGATCTGGGTTTGTTGGGACTTTTTTTGTCAGAAATTACAGATAATAAATAGCAAACAAGTTCTGGTTTGCTCCAGGAGGTCTCAGCTCCAGGGAGCTGCTGGGGTTTCCACTCAGGATGTGTGTTTGAGGCACAGGGCCATTGCAGAGGCTCTTGCTCCTTGTTTTGCAACAGCTTCCCCTTCAAAAAGTTCATTTTTCTCACCAGAGGTGTCTGTGTCCCTGGAGCCACTCTGGCTCTGCCCGTTTCCTCCAGCTGCTCCTTGCACTGCAAGCTCTCACAGCTTTCAGGTGAACTCAGCAGAAAATCTGTGTTTTTCTCAGTTTTCACTCCTGTCCAAGCAACAGTGAAGTACAGAGGGGAAAAAACATCAGGAAGGTATTTATGGTGTGTGAACCCCAAATGGGGGAAGCTGTGGTTTGGGATCACTTCCCTTCAGGCTTCTCTTGGCAGGTGTTTGTGCATAGGGCCAAGCACTGCCTGCAGCCTGTGGAAGAGCAGATTCCTGATGGAATCAGGCTCTTCATCCTTCCTTCAGCACTTTAACTCCCATCCAGGGGCTGGAGCTGCTTGAGGCAGGAAGAGTTTCCCTGCCAGACACAGAGGAGGGGGTGCTAAAATAGAAAATCCCACCGAGGACACATGACAAGGCTTTCCTGCAGCACAGCCACATCTGTCCCTCCCAGGCCCGGGGTTGGCTGTGCAGCATGTGCCTCCTTCCAGAACACAGGGGTGACTTTTGTACTCAAAATACTGCATAAAACCGTGGAGAGAAGGAGCAAAGCTGGGAGATCCCGGTTTGGCAAACCTCACAAACCCTCGAGCCACACACAAACCCGCAGGTGACGGGGAGGAACGGGGCCAGGAGCAGTTTAGGGGTGCTGCTGGTGCAGGGGGGATGCACCCCACGAGAGCCTGGGAAGCCGCAGGAGCAGAGGGTGAGGAGGGATCCTGGGGGGGCTGCAGACCCCGACAGCTCCACAGCCCTGGGCAGTCTTTGGAAGCAAAGCCAAGCTGATGATTCATGGAATTACGCAATTCCATCCTGGCTGCTTATGTAACTCCAGAGCCATCTCCCTGAGCCAGAGGCTCTGGAGTCCCCTCCCTCTCCTCTGAGAGCCACGGCTGCTCCAGGACGCTTCCCCTGGGGAGGAAAAGACACCCCAGGTGGGATGGATGGATGGATGGATGGATGATGGATGGATGGATGGATGGATGGATGGATGGATGGATGGATGATGGATGATGATGGATGGATGGATGGAGAGCAGCCCTAGGAGGAGGATTTGGGGCTGCTGGTGGCTGACAGGCTGGACATAAACCAGCTCAGAAACTCTCAACCCTGGGCAGATCCCCCAGCCTGGACAGCAGGAAGGGGGGGTTCTGCCCTGAGCCCAGGTGAGACCCCACGTGCAGAGCTGCCCCAGCCCTGGGGACACAGCAGCAGCACCTGGAGCTGCTGGAGAGAGCCCAGAGGAGGCCCCGGAGCTGCTCCAGGCTGGAGCCAGGCTGGGAGAGCTGGGGGTGCTCACCTGGAGAGGAGAAGGCTCCAGGGAGAGCTCAGAGCCCTGGCAGGGCCTGAAGGGGCTCCAGGAGAGCTGGAGAGGGACTGGGGACAAGGCATGGAGGGGCAGGACACAGGGAATGGCTCCTACTGCAGGGATGAATGGGATATTAGGAAGGAATTCCTGGCTGTGAGGGTGGGCAGGCCCTGGCACAGGGTGCCCAGAGCAGCTGTGGCTGCCCCATCCACAGCAGTGACACAAGAGTCCCCATCTCTGGTTTGGTGCTGCCAGGTGAGCTCCAGCTCATTCCCCACATCCTGCAGTGCCGGAGCAGGTGGGGATCCTCCAGGAAGGGCTCCAGCCCTGGCAGGGGGTGCCAGGGAGAGGCAGGGAGCTCTGGGAAACCTCAGCTCACACTTGGGGAGCAGGGTTCCATCACTCCCAAAGCAGAGGGGTACCAGGGCAGGGCTGGAGCCTCTCCCTCATTGCCTGTGCTTGCAGGTCATGTGTTTCAACACCAGTTTTCCTTTTTCCTCTAATTTTTAACCTCCAGTAACGTTTTCCTCTTCTAACTTCTTGTAATTTTCTGTCATCTGTGGCCCATTTCTCATTACACAGAGTCAGTGAGCTGGGCCCATCTAATTTTCACTTTCTTTTTGCCGCATGGTGCAAGACAGAAACAGCTCTCGGGCACATCTCTGCATCCCTTTTTATTCCCTGTCTTTTTCCATGCTGTGTATCCACTGCCTTTCCCTTCTGTTGTGTTATAAAGCATCTTTGCACCCACATTTTCTGGGCCAGCTTCCCCTTTACCCCAGGCACGCTCATAAATACACACCCTTCCAGCCTCGCTGACAGGGAGGCAAAATTGTTCAGCAGAAGGAAGACAGATTCCAGAATATTTGCTGGCATTTCGTTCCCCTGCTGGGGTTTAATTTGCTGTGTTACATTGGCTGTTATTTACTCACGCTCTGCTGAGCCCAGCGTGTGCCTCTCCTTGCCCAGCCAAGGGGAGCAGCTGGTGATGAAGGCTTTGGGTGGAGAAACGGCCTTGGGAATGGGACAGGGTGCTGAGCACCCAGCCCAGACCCTGCTGGCACAGCCAGCACCGTGGTGCAGCTCCCACGCGGGGTTTGGGGCATTTCTGCTGCCCTGGTGTCAGAGAAGAGGCAGCCTGGGGACAAGTGGAGCATCTCAATTAGTGCTGCAAATGGTTTGGGAGATTGTCTCAGATCTAGGCAGTGACAGGGGAAAGGCTTCCCACTGCCAGAGGGCAGCGTTAGGTGGGATCTGGGGAAGGAATTCCTCCCTGTGGCTGCCCCTGGATCCCTGGAAGTGTCCAAGGCCAGGCTGGATAGGGCTTGGGACAGTGGAAGGTGTCCCTGGCATGGCAGGGCTGGCACTGGGTGAGTTTTGAGGTCCCTCCTGACCCAAGAGATTCTCTGCCCAGATGGGGGTTATCCCCAGCCTGCAGCTCCCTGCAGTCACTGTCCCCTGGGAGCAGGGAGGAGTGCCAGGCAGGTGAGGCTGGGATTCCTGGCAGAATTTCAGTGACATCACTTGATGTGAGACTGAGCTCAGCTCCCTATGCCTGCTGCACCCGGGGATTGCCATGCCTGGCCTTTCTGAGGGATGCAGTGACCCAGCACAGAAGTGGGAAGAAAACTGGGCTTTGAAGACAAATCCTGCACCTGTAGCTGAAGGAACAACAGCAGCTGATGGACCTGCAACACTCTGAACAACCATCCATCCATCCATCCATCCACCCATCCTTTTATTTTATTTTTTTTTAAATCAGTTAAGTCTTATCTCCCTTTTTATTTGATGTCCTCTCTGCTGGATCAAAGTACTTTTCTGTTTAGTTTCCTTCCTAAGGGAGGGCTGGGTGAGATGGGCGGGATCCGAGGGCAGGGGTTTATCCTCACTTTGATCTGCTGGCAAACCCTGCGGTGTTTGAGAACTCTGCTGACCCCCGCCTGCCCTCCCTCCTCCACACATTTGAAGGAGAGCGTGGAAAGGATGACAGGGTGCTGCTGCACACCGCTGCATTTGTGGTCTGCAGGTCTAATGAGGGACAAAGTCATTAACACGTTAACCAGGACATGGAGCCTGCTTCCAGCCCCAGAGCACTCCCATCCCTGGCAATCCAGGCTCCTTTGGGTTTCCTGCCTTTGGTGTTCCACCCTTTTTCTACCCCCGAGCATGCGAGGGGCTGCAGCAGCAAGCCCAGGGCTGTCAATAATTCATCGGGGCTGGAGCCAAGCAGGTGCTGAACCCTCCAGGGGCCGGGGAGGTTCTCCTGCCCGCTTCCATTTACGATCAAATCCGCTGTATTGATCCCATCCTGGATTTGTTACAGCAATATCTCTCGGAATGGGCTGAGGGCAGCAGCTGCTTGTTGCAGAAGTTGCTGTGGCGCTCGGAACTCACGCAGGTCCCGTCTGGAATTTACCTCTCGGGGTTTATAAACGCCACAGTGAAGGCAAACCCCTCCTGCTAGAAGTTACATCAACCCCTGCATTTGTTAATTTGTTTGAGCCTGCGGGTCCTCGCTCCTTTGCTTCTCATCATGGGGGAAACAGAATTGCGCACGATAATAATGGGAAGCCTTTCACCCCATTTGCTGCGGAGATGAAAACATCTATTAGAATGTGCTGAACAACAAGTTAAAGCCTAATGGCTCTAGCGTGCCTCCGAACAATGCAGCTTCCTGAGCAGGAAGCCTGGCTGCTGAAACCCAACAAAGACATCGCGGTCCCCGGGGAGGAGCGGAGCGAGGAGGGAAGGAGGCTGCGGGCTTCCCAGGGGCTGCGGGCTTCCCAGGGGCTGGAATTTCTCTGCATGGGCGCGTTTAGGGGATGGCTGGGGGTCCGAGAGAGAGGTGGAGATGCAGAAACGCCGCGGGTGACTGGGGTGCACAGGGAAGCAGGGCTCTAATCCAGCACAGCGAGGCATGGGAAGGGCTGGCTGAGCCCCTGTGCTGGCCCCGAGCCTGGATGCTCCCTCCGCAGGGAGGCAGGGCTGGGTCCTGGGCAGGGCAGGGCCAGCACCTGGCATCCCCTTGAGCTTCTGGGCTTCTGCAGCCCGTGGGATCCCTCTGGAAACCCATTTGTGCGGCTCCCTGCCACCCTTGGGTTCCCGTTTCTCCAGCAGCTGCGGAGCCTCTGGATGGCAGCACAGCCGCCAGCTTTGCCAGCTGCCCTCCCGGTGCTTGCTGCCAGCTGTGAGGGTGCCCCGTCACCCAGGCCGCGGAGAAGGGCGTCGCACCGACCCCAGAAATGTTGCACAATATTGTCCTCGGCTCTGCTGAGCAGCGTTTCACCTCCCAGGCCTCTGGGCTTTGACATTTTGCACGCTGCTTCGTTGCTGTGCAGAATTAAAGAGCTCCGAGCAAAGGACAGCCAGGAACAATTAGTGATGGCTTGAGAGGCCGTGTGCCTGCTGTGGGGGTGTTTGCAGAGCCCGACAGGGTTTTTCCTGCTGAGCAGGGGGGAATGGGGGCCCGTGAGCGTTGTGCTGAGTGGTTTATCTCTGCCAGGCTGACAGAATGACAAGGAGCAGCCAGGGGGACGTGGCCCGGAACGCGCTCTGCAGGAGCCCCTTTCTCAGTGTCAAGGTAAGCACCCCTGCTTTCTGCAGCACCCCTCGGCCCCTGGCCTGGCAGCAGCAGCTCAGCCTCCTGCAGAAGGCACTGGGAGGATTTACGGGCACCAGGTGTGTTTGGGAAATGCTCCCTGTGTTTCCCGTGGCACAGGTGCCTTTGGTGTGGAGTTGTGTCCATTCCAAATCCAGTGGAGCAGCGATGTTTCACTGCGGGTTTAACTCCCAGCTCCTCCAGAGAATCACAGGATGGGATGGCTTGGAGGGACCTTAAAGCCCATCCAGTGCCACCCCTGCCATGGCAGGACAATTCCACTGTCCCAGGCTGCTCCAAGCCCCAACATCCAGCCTGGCCTTGGGCACTGCCAGGGATCCAGAGGCAGCCACAGCTGCTCTGGGCACTCTGGCACTTGTGCCAGGGAATAATTCCTTCCCAAGAGCCCATCTAGCCCTGGCTTTGTCAGTGTGAAGCCTTTCTTCTAAGTCTTGGGTCCTCCTGGGTTCGGTGCAAGCCCAGGCCCACCAGGTGAGGGTTTGAGGAGCTCTGCAGAACCACAGGCTGCACCTGGAATGGTTCCCTGTGTCTCACAACATCTGCCTCATTCCCTTCTGGCTCGGTAATTCCTTGTTATCAGTAGTGGCAGCAGCCTAACACCAGTGCATTACTACATTCAGGGTATTGTAAGCCAATTAGCTGGCTCATTAGGGAACCTCACCAGGCCAGAGAGCACAAGATGACAGTCGGTCTTAAAGGCTCAAGACTTCTCTGTCCCTTTTGCGGGCAAGATTTGGGGTTTTGAGGGTTTTTCTACAAATGCTGGTGCATTTAATCACCCTTCTCAGTGTGGCAGGAGGAAAGTGAGTCACTGAGGCAGAGGTTAGCAGAGCTTCCACAAGGGTTGGAGACACAGAGCCATGGCCTGAGGCTCTTCCCCAATCCTCTTTCACCCCAATCCTCATTCAGCTGGTTTTTGTCTGGTGGGCTTTGTTTCTTCTTTACTCCCCAGAAATATGATCCTGCTGATTTTAACTTGAGGAGATATTTTAAAGGGATTCAAAGATTAAACCATTGAGGGGCAAAGCCAGCTGAGCCTGTGAGCAGAATCAAGCTGTATTTTGCTGTATCTGTGAAGGTAGATCCTAAAATCCCAGACTGGTTTGGGTTGGGGGGCACCTTAAAGACCCTCTTGTTGCAACCCCTGCCACGGGCAGATGTGGAGGAAGCTCTTGTCACCAAGAACACAATTATCCTCAGCACAGGATGTTTTCCCCTTATCTCTTGGGGTTTTTTTTCAAGAAGTTAGGCCACCCTGTCCGGTTTCTAAATGACTTCCTCAGAAAACAAACCTTCCAGCCCAGGGTTTGAATGGCTCTTGCAGAGACACAGAACCATTGCACAATGTGGTTGGATGTGTTTGAAGTGGCTGAAGGACCAAAAATCACAGCACTGCAGTTTTTATGGGTATTTATATCTCCAGAGAGCGTGTCACAAAAACCATGGACCGCATGTCAAAACGCAGCTGAGGGACATAACTGAGAACTGCCCTGTTTGGCTTCAAGGAGCACTGTGATTTAGATGGGAAGGAATTGTTCCCTGGGAGGGTGGGGAGGCCCTGGCACAGGGTGTCCAGAGAAGCTGTGGATCCCTGGCAGTGCCCAGGGCCAGGCTGGATGGGACTTGCAGCCACCTGGGACAGTGGGAGGTGTCCCTGCCGTGGCAGGGGTGGCACTGGCTGGCGTTCCAGCCCCCTCCCAGCTGCAAGCCCAGGCAAACTGGTTCCAGCTGTTTCCTCCCAGAGCCCTTTGCCGTAAGCAGAGCCCAGTGTGCCTGTGTCACGTGCTGAGGCACAAAGCCCTCTCTGCAAACAGGCTCCAGAATCCCCCGGGCGCGTGGAGGGAGCGTGCTGGGGACGTGTCAGCTGGGCAGGACGGTGTGGGGAGCCCCCACGGGACAGCCTGCTGCCAAGCTGCGCCATCCACACTGCAGACATCACACAGGCAGCCCTTGGAAAAGGGCTTTTTGCAGACCACCAGGAGAGGAATGACTGGTGTTTCAGTCCCAGGTCTGTGCTGTACTGGCTGCCTAGGATGGAGGGGGTTTCTCTGTTCCCTTGCACGTGTGGGGTGGGAGCAGCAGTACCTCGCCAGTGTTTGGGTTCTCTGAGTTGTTTAATTCCATGGGTCTAGAGGGAAGGTTTTGCAAGCACAGCCCAGCCCTGGGGCTGCTCCTGGTGTGCATGGCCTGTCCTGCTGCCAGGGAAAAGGTCTTGGGAAAAGCCTGGTGTCTGCCAATCCAGGTGACCTGCTGGGGCAGCACATCAGTCCCACCAGGCCAGCAGAGCCAAAGGCCAGGAAAAGCCTGCTCTTTCTTTTCCTGACCAAAAATTGATGTCTGAGAGCAAAGAGCCCCTGGAGGCAGGACTGGGGTCCTTGCCCAAGCCGCTGCAGGTCCTCTGCAAGGCCGTCTCCCCTAAAATACCAGATGCCCAATGCATTTTGAGCTGCAGAGGATGTGAGGCAGTGCTGGGCAGCTGCTGAGCTGCTGTAAACCCCTGAAGTTCCAGGATTTGGATACTCAGGGGGCCGTGTGCTGTGGATGCTGGAATAAACAGATCTGATTTCAGCCTTTCCCTCTGAAGTGATGTGTTCAGGAAGCAGAGCCTGGACACAGCCAGTGACTTGGAGGAATGTAGGAGTTTTAGCAAAGCTGACTGGGGACGCTTTCCACTGGCTGGGTGACATTTTCCCAGTCCAGACACGTTGCCCCCACCAGTGGTGACGTGAGCCTGGAAGGGGGAAGGTGCTGGATGCTGTTCTGGTGTGCACCATGCCAGCCCATCGTTCGGGAGGTGGTGACCTCAGCCCAGCCCTGCATTCCCAGGGGGTTTGACCTTCCCCCTTTCTGGGCTGGGGATGTTGCCTTGGCTGACAGAGCAGGCCACTTTGGCAGTGAGCTCACTTGAGGCTTGGATCAGAACGAGATGTAGCAGAAATCCAGGCCAGGCTCAGCAGTTTCTCCGTGGTGGGAGCTGCTTCCAAACACACGGAGCAGGAGCAGCGCCCCGAGGGTTTGGGCACCAGCCCAAGCTGAGGGCAGCAGCTCTGGAAGGAGCCAGGGCATCCAGCCTGTCCCGCAGGGAGATGGGAGGGCTGTGTGCTGAGGGTGTGTGACTGTTTGGGCTGGCTGTCTGAGCTCCTCTGGGGGCTGGAGGGGTGCCTGGGAGAGCCACAAGGCAGCAGGAGGGAGGTGGCTCACATGGAGGAGGGAGGATGGAGATGAGGGCAGATTATTTTCTGGGAGATGGTGGACTTTGACAAGGTTTCCTTATGTAATTGGAGGAGAACCATCACATTTTCCAAAGGAGATGTGTGTTACATCTAGGGCTCTGTGAGAAGGAAAGGAAAGCAGCCTGAATTCTTCTCCCTGACCTGCTGACTTTCTCTAGAGGAGTTGTTTGTTGGTGTGTTTGGAAGAGCTCATTCCTGTCCCAGAAGAGCTCCCAGCACTGGGGATGGCTGCCTGCCTCTGGCTGAACGGGAACAGCAGTGTTGTGCAACCTCCCTTCTGCTGCTGCATCCGAGGGACGGGGCCAACACAAACAGGGATCATCCCGACTGAAGGCATGTGTTTGTCCAAAGCCACTTCTCAGCTGAAGAAACTGCAGCCTCCTCGCAGACACTGACCCTGCTGTGACTCTTGGCAGAGGCCAATTTCATGGTTCTGACCTAATCTCAGAAGATCTCACTGGTGGTGGAGCAGGGGTGATATTTCCAAGGCTTGTGGTCAGAGGTTTAAGTTGGATAATGGTGCCTTTCTGAGGGGGGTGCAGTTTGTTGTGCTGCAGCTGTCACTGACCCTGCAGCTCTGGGTGACCCTGCAGCTCTGGGTGACCCTGCAGCTCTGGTGACCCTGCAGCTCTCACTGACCCTTCTGGGGGCTCCATTTCTGTGTTGGCAGTTCTTTGTGTTCTGCCACGGGCTGCTGCAGCTCTCCCAGCTCCTGGTCTCTGGCTACCTGAAGAGCTCCATCTCCACCATTGAGAGACGCTACGGCCTCTCCAGCCAGACCTCGGGGCTGCTGGCCTCCTTCAACGAGGTGAGCAGCCGCCCAGCCTGTCCCTGTCCCTGTCCCTGTCCCTGTCCCTGTCCCTGTCGCTGTGCCGTGCTGCCCTGCCCTCGGGACACACTGCTGTCTGTCCCTGCAGGTTGGGAACACGCTGCTGATCGTCTTCGTGAGCTACCTGGGCAGCCGCGTGCACCGGCCGCGCCTCATCGGCTGCGGGGCCCTGCTGGTGTCCCTGGCCGGCTTCCTGATGGCCCTGCCCCACTTCCTCACGGGGCCCTACGAGTACGACCGCTCCGTGGCCAGTGAGTGCTCCACAAACCTGCCCTGCGCCTCTGGGGCGCAAGGAGCGAACTACAGAATGACAGGCTGCTTCGGGTGGGAAAGACCTCAAAGATCATCTCGTTCCACCTTCCTCCATCCTCCAGCCTGGCCTTGGACCCTGCCAGGGATCCAGGGGCAGCCACCCTCACAGAGAACAATTCCACAATTCCTTCCCAGTATCCCACCTATCCCTGGCCCCTGGCAGTGGGAAGCTGTTGTGAAATGGCCTTTCCTCCAGGCACTGGGAGCTGCATGCTGTTGGCTTCTCCTTGAGAAATTTTATTTTTCTGAGAATGAAATCATCTCAACCCTGAGAGGCAACAGCTACTGGTGGAAAGCAGAACCAGGGGGATGTGGGAACCGTGGAACCATGGGAAGGGGAAGGAAAACAATCAAAACACAGGCTGTGCCTCTGATTCCTCTTGTTTGCTGCACATCCAACCTCACCTGCCTTCCCTGGTCTAGCTGGGCTGTCTTTGAGGCTTTAGACCCCACCAGAATATCAGCCTCCCTTGAGATACATGCAGGTCTGAATCACTCATGTAGGGAACAGGACAGGGTGGGTTTGGGATCTTGTTCCCAAAGGAAAATGAAGGGATGAGAAAGGAAAGAAAGGAGAAAACAAGCTACTTGCTACCTTCCCAATTCCTGCCATGAAGCTCCAGCAAACCTTCTAGAAGCCTCCACTGAACAGCTTTTGTTTGGCTCACCAGAGGGAGGGCAGCCTTGCCTGGGGTTATAAGGAAGATGAGGGTGCTAGAATCAGCCCTTTCACTCAGGCAGCTTTTCTGAGGAAAATGAGCTCTCATTTTCTGGGTAGCTGCTCACAAAATCTGCAGGTTTGCTCAGTTACCTGTACTGGGCTGCTCCATCAAAGGTCCTGGGAGTGACCTCAGCTCCACTTCCTTGATGGAGGAAAAGCCTTGAAGGCTTTCCAGGCTCATGACCCCGTCTCTGTGAACACCAGCGCGGTGATCTCTGCACCTTCTTTGTGTTTTCTTTCACCTGCCATCTAAGGATAAGATAAGGACGTGGAGCTGCTGGAGCAAATCCAGAACTGGGGGTGTTCTCCTGGAAAAGGCTCCAGGGAGAGCTCAGAGCCCCTTCCAGGGCCTGAAGAAAGAAGTTCTTTCTGCAGACCGAGCTCCTCAGACCTGTCCCCTTGTCACCTTAGGCACCTCCAGCAACACCACGGACCTGTGCCAGCCCGGGGCGCCGGGGGCCTGGGCCAACCTGAGCGATGCCAGCTGCACCCCCCACGCCTCCAGGGAGAACCACGAGGTTCTCCTGGTGATGTTCGTGGCCCAGGCCCTGCTGGGCATCGGCGGCGTGCCCATCCAGCCCTTCGGCATCTCCTACATCGACGACTTCGCCAGCGAGAGGAACTCCCCCCTCTACCTGGGTGAGGCTGGTCCTTGGCACGGGGAGAAGCCAGGCTGGAGCTGGCAGCAAGGCCAGACTGCGCTAATTTGCGTTAATGAGAGCAGGGTTCGTTACAGCCCTTGTGCTCTGCCCACGGCCAGGAAGGATTCTGCAGAAAGAGTTCATCTGCTTCGGGCTTGGGCAGGCAGCAGGAGAGCTGGGAAACACCACCGGGGCAGAAGCTGAGGTTTTGGCCTGAGAGTGACAAAAACTGGAGTTAAATACCATGTCCTCCTCCAAAGAGGCTTCGGGAAGGACTGGAGGAGCAGTCTGTTCTCTCTGTTCACCAGTGGCAGCTGTGGGTCTAAGGGACAGCTGTGGGGACTCTGTTTAGCTGTCAGCAAAGCCAAACAAACCAAAGAAAGCAGTTTCAGCCACCTGGGAGGTGGGAGGGGTGCTGGAGAACAGCGGGGGCACAGGCCCACAGGGGTGTCCCAGGTGGTGGCATGGACAAGGTGGTCCTTGCAGGTCCTTCCAGTCCTTTCCTGGCTGTTACCTGTGACAGCCTCGAACTGAATGGAGCAGCAAAGGTAGATCAAAACCATTACTGCTGAAAAAAGGAAGCACAGCATCGAATTTTGCTCTGGTAGATGATCCAAACCTCTCACATGTAAGGTAGGAGTTGAATCTTACATGTGTGGATTTCTTTTATCAGTAATTCACAGAGAAGAGTTCACTGATAACTTTTATCTCCTTCACCTTGTAAAACTTGGTGTTCCCTGGATTACTGATGCCAAAGGGCACCTCTTGTTCCTGGGAGTGCCGCAGTCCTTCCAGGAGGCTGAAGACGAGTGTCAGGAAAGGTCTGAGCTGTGCCAAAGGGAATTCCATGTGGGAAAGGAATATGGAGAGCAAGGGAAATAGGAAAGCTGCCAGGGAAAGGGCTGGTGCAGCAGAGCCTGCTCCCACCCTGAGGCACCTGTGTCCCCGTGGTCCCTTCCCAGGCTGAGCCCTCGCTGCTCTCGTGCCCACAGGAATCCTGTTCTCCCTGACGGTGGTTGGGCCGGGGGTGGCCTTCATGCTGGGCTCTGCCATGCTGAGGTTCTACGTGGACATGGACAAAGTCAGCTCAGGTGAGGCCGCGTGTCCTGGCAGAGCTGCTGGAGCAGGGGGCTCCCAGCCTCGGGGGGCTCCCCTGCCCCGTGCCTGCCAGTGGGCATCCAGCACTTTCATCCCTGTGCCAGCTGTCTCCATCCAAAGGGCTCTTTGGACGCCCTGGGGACGGCGATGAAATGGGGGAGAGACGATGAAACGTGATTTAGTGGTGGGGTGATGGAGGCAAACTGGGCTGCTCAGGCCCCGGCACTGACATCCCACCACCTTGGGGTGATGGATGCCTGGGTGCCCTGGGGTGCCTGCCGCGTCCCAGCCCTGGTCTGATGCCCCTCTCCTCTCGTCTTGCAGCTGAGGTGCAGCTCACCAACAAGGACCCGCGCTGGGTCGGGGCCTGGTGGCTCGGCTTCCTGGTGGCCGCCAGCCTGGTGGCCCTGTGCGCCCTGCCATACTTCTTCTTCCCGAGGGAAATGCCCAAAGAGGTAGGAGAGGTTCTGCACACACACACACACACCTCGGTGGGGCCGAAATGCCACGGGAACCACAACCACTGACAGTTCTGTTCCTTGGGGAGGGGAGGATGCACTCCCAGATTCCCATGTTACGAGAGGCTTGCCAGGGGAGGCAGAGGGCAGCCAGCTTTGTCTGTCCTGGCAGCTTTTGTCTGGGAGCAGCGCTGAACTTTGGAGGTGGAGGTGGAATTCCATCAGTGGGCTCCTGGCAGGAGAGGACAGCTCTTCTCCAGCAGAGCTGGGGAGCAGGGCAGGGAGCGTGTGAGAAGTGCAGAGCTGCTCCCAGCAGTGTGAGCTTTTGTCTGGGAGCAGCGCTGAACTTTGGAAGTGGAGGTGGAATTCCATCAGTGGGCTCCTGGCAGGAGAGGACAGCTCTTCTCCAGCAGAGCTGGGGAGCAGGGCAGGGAGCGTGTGAGAAGTGCAGAGCTGCTCCCAGCAGTGTGAGCAGTGCAGAGCTGCTCCCAGCAGTGTGAGCAGTGCAGAGCTGCTCCCAGCAGTGTGAGCAGTGCAGAGCTGCTCCCAGCACTGTGAGCAGTGCAGAGCTGCTCCCAGCAGTGTGAGCAGTGCAGAGCTGCTCCCAGCAGTGTCTGGGCAGTGCAGAGCAGCACAGCAGAACACTCTGCTGTGCTGGCAGAGGAGGTGTTTCTGAGGCTGGGATGTCGCTGGAGCTGCTGGGACACGCTCAGGAGGTGAAGCTGTGCTGCTCTCAGTGTCTTGGCCGGGCTGGGAGCGGTGTCAGTGCCCTCCACATGTGCTGTATCTCGAGGCAGCATCGAAGCTCCCTGTCTGAACAAGTCTGTGCACCCGTGCAGAGCAATCCTTCATTTCTCCTGACACTGCCTGAATTTCCACAGGAATCAGTGGAGACTGGGGGTTCCCCGACCTGTTTTGCCAGCTCAGCCTGGGGATGCAGTGATTTACTGCTGGCTGCCGTGAGCTGTGAGGAGCTGTGAGGTGATGGGGTGCTCTGTGCGTGGCAGGATGGGGGTGACCCCAAATGCAGCGTGCCTGATCGCTCCTCCCGCAGCCTGGGCTGCTCTGAAGCCTTGGGGAGGGTCTGTGCTAGCAGGCTCTAGGCTCATCTCAGGGAAAAGTTCTTCATTAGGCTGATGGGAATATTAATTTCATAAACGCCTCTTGAGAGAAGGTAATGCACTTCCAGCTAAAACAGCTGCACTTTCTGGCAAGTGCTGCACTCTGAGCAGTTTGGAAGGGTTTAAGGGGGAACAGGCTATTGATTTTAAAAAGAGCAGGAAGATTTCATCCTGCTCTGCTGGCTGGGATCGGTAGGATACACTTCCACATGGCTGAGCACCCACGTGTCCCTCTGCAGCCTGTGAATTTCTTGAATTCTTGGATTTCTCCCCATTTTTGCATCTCACTCAGCAAGCTCTTGGAATCTGCTGACAGTTAAAAATAATAATAGGAAAATACAGTAAATAGCCAGATTCTGCCCTCCTTGCAGAATGGGAGGCACCAGGGCCACCCTGTCCCCTGGGGGTATCAGCACCAGCAAGGGGCCCTGCCTAAAAAAATTCAAATATAAACCTCTGCAGAAAGTTTGCCACGTGCTGCTCTGGGTAGCACACGAGCTGTAGGAGCTCGCATTCCAGGATGTGCTGGAAATGGATGTTTTGCTGCGTGTGTGCACTGCACACACACATCCCCTCGGGCACAGCCGAGGTGCTCCTGCAGCCCCAGCCGGGGTCTCACTTGCGGCCAGCCTCCTCTGGGGGTGCAGCAAACCCGGGGTGTCTCTGAGCCCTCTGTGCCCTTGGAGGCTGATCTGCCTCCTCCCACCAGCCAAGGCACAGCTGCACTTTTTATTCCACAGCCACGCTGAGCTTCACCTTTTTTTGATGAATTCTTTCTTTGAAGTTCCTCGTGTTAACATTAATGATAGTGTGGGGCTGCTCTTTTGATCTTTTCCTCGTAAATTAGTCGCTCCAAACCCAGAACATTTTTACTTCTCTGCTTTGCTGCTTGTCAGTAGGTTTCTAGCACCAAAGTATCCTGAGTAATCCTGTTGAGGGCTGATCATGGCAAAGCCATGAGGTTGTCATGAAATCAGGAAGGGGATGAGAGGATGAGCTCTTACACAGGAAGAACCGTTTTCAGTCAAGAACAGCTTTTTTTCCCCAGTAATTCCAGTTTAATCCTGCCTCCATGGGCCCAAACCATTCCTTGGAGCTGTGTCCTGGATTGTGGGGAGCTTCCAGCGCTCTCCAGTCGCTGTGTGGCCGTAGTTTAGCTCATGCTTTGCCATCTGCTGGTGTTGCTGTATCCCAAGGCAGGCAGCAGTGTTGTCACAATATTCCAATAGTCCTGGCACACAGGCTCTGCCTGTCCTGCAGCTCTGACACAAAAAGGGACTGAAAGGGGCAAAGCTGCTCTCAGAGACAAAAGCAGACACTTCCAGGGATCCAGGGAGAGCCACAGCTTCTCTGGGCACCCTGTGCCAGGGCCTCAGCACCCTCACAGGGAACAATTCCTTCCCAAAATCCCAGCTAGCCCTGCCCTCCTTCCTCTTAAAGTCATTGCCCCTTGTCCTGTCCCTCCCTGTCCAGCTGTCCCAGGCCCCCACTAGGTGCTGCAGATGGAGGTCCTTCTCTGGAACAAGGTACTGGGATGCTCTGGGTGCCCCATTAAAGCTCCAAAAGCACCACCAGAGGCAGCCCAGGAGCACAGGGAACAAAGGAGGAGCAAAGAGGGCCAAGTGGCAGGACAGGCTACAGGAATCCTGCTCTCTACAGCTGGATTTTCCCCAGGGAGCTTTACAGGCAGGCACAAACAGCAGCTAAAAATAATCCTCCCTTTTGGTGGGAGCAAGGTGCCCCTCAGCTGGTTATTCTAACACTCCTGGAAATAGGGTCCCTGGAGGGACCACACCTGCTGGAGGAGGCATAATGAAGTGTTTGTAGGGAGCCTGACCTTGTCAAAAGGAAAATAATTCTTTCCCAAGCCATGAGGCTTTACACTTTGTTTGTCTAATATGAAAATAACTTCTCTGACCTTACTTTTCAGCGAGCTGGGAGTGCCAGGTTCTGTTCACAGCCAGAGGGGAACTCTGCAGAAACCTCAAAATAAACAAAGAAAACCTCTCTGTCACAGCAGGTCATTTATCCCTGTTTCCAGGGGTGTATTTGGATCAAGCCAGCCTGCTGGCACCTCTGGCTGCCCTTCTCACAGGTGCAGGAGCAGGTGGGGAGAGCAGGGGCTGCCAGGGAAAGCTGCTTTCATTTTCCTTTCCTGCAGAGCCCTGCTCAGCCATGCCCGGATTTATTTAGTCTGTGCAGGGAGATGGGGGATTTCCCCAGGCCAAGGTCAGGCTGGGGATGCTCTTCCTGATCCAGAGTGTGTGGGAGCTTCATTCTCCTTCCCCAAAAGCTGTCTGCTTCCTCCAGCCCCCTGAGGGTGGGAGCGATGCCAGTGGACCCATGGAATCACAGCATGGCTTGGGTTGCAGGGACCCTAAAGCCACCCCTGCCATGGCAGGGACACCTCCCACTGTCCCAGGGACACCTCCCACTGTCCCAGGGTGCTCCAAGCCCCAGTGCCCAACCTGGACACTTCAGGGACCCAGGGGAAGCTAAAAATGCAGATAAAAATCTCATTGCAAAACCATGAGATGCAATGAGTGGCACCAAGGAACTGAGTCCTTTAAGGATTCATCCCAGAAAATCCAAGTGTGGGGGCATTTTGCAAGCTGAGTTTGTTTCTCCTTGGCATGATGCTGGAGCAGGGATGAGCAGCCAGCTCGTGTTACTGCACCTTCCAGCTCCAGCTTGACAAAATTCTGCTGTGACAATGCCAAAATCCCCCGTGGCAGAGGCACAGCATCCTCCTCAGGGCTTGGGCATCTCTGGTGGTGCAGCCAGCACCATTCCAGCACCATTCCAGCACCTTTCCAGCATCATCCACAGCAAGCAGGCAGGATTCCTGCTTTTCCTTCTGCCCCTGCTTTCCTTCAGCCCACGGGAATGTATTTCCTGATCCTTTCAGGCAGCAAAAATCCATGCCAGGGCCCCAAGGCAGCACAGGGAGAGGAGCTTTCCCCCTCTGAGAGGGCTTTGCTCCATGGGCACGCAGCTGAGCCATGGAAACATGCCCTGCAAGGGTCACACACAGGGACATCCCGGACGGGGGGATTTGGGGGGAGCTGGGGTTTTGTCTGGACGTGCAGGCTGTTGACTCTCAGAAGTACAAACAGCTGGAAGCTGAGAAAGCCACAGGCAGGAGCAGCTTGAATGTATTTTTGGAAAATGCTGCAGTTCCAGAGCAGAGAAGAGCCCCTGTAACGCAATTGAAAAGTGAAAGGGGTTTTATCTTTGCATTTGAAAAATGTATGAAAGCCTGAGCTCCAGCAGTTCAGAACAGGAAAGGAGTTTCATTGCTTTTGCCCTTAAAAAGGGCACGTGGCAGCCCCAGCACAGACACTGCGACCTCGCTGTGTTTAATGAGAGCTCTCATTGCAGAGCAGAGGTGATTCCAGCCCGAGAGCTGCCCGTTTCCTCCTGTCCATTACAGTCTCTGGTTGCTGCTGGATGAACTCGTTTGTCCAGCCCAGGTCAGGGCTGCTGAGCTGATGGGGTGGCAGAGCTGTAAAGGCTCTGTGGCTTCCCCTGCAACCACGCTGCCCTGAGCCCTGCCTGCCGCTCCACAGGCACAGCGCACACCTCCAGTCAGTGCCCCTGCTCCTGTGGCTCCCCTGGGAGGCTGCAGATCCTGCAGGGGATGCAGAACACGTCCCAGAAATGCTCCTTTGGCTTTCTGGTGCCCGGGGGTGCTGGACACCCCAAGCGGGGCTGCCATGGACCTTCCCTGTCCGAGCCCTCCAGGGCTGGGGACCCCACCCTGCCCTGGGCAGCCTCTTGCCTTAGGAGGTGACCAACACTTTGCCTCCATCCCCGACCCCCTCCTTGCCTGGATACATTTCCCTCTTACAATTGCTGCCTCTTTCCTGCCCAGCAGCTTGTGAGGGAGCACAGAGACACGGGGACCTGCTCACCCTCCATCCAAAGCTGTGCTGGTGGGGATCCAGGTGTGTCCCTCCTTGGGTGCCTGTGCCCACACACAGGGCTAGAACAAGCTCTGGGGTGGAACAGCATCCCCCTAAGGGTATCCAGCAAAGGCTGGCACCTCCTGAGTTTGGCACCTCCTTTCCCTGCAGAGGTTGGCCCCTCCTGAGTCTGGGTGAGCTGAGCACACGGTGTGCTCTGCCTGGGGAGTGGCACAGCTGGATACGGATGGAGTGTGCTCCAGCACTGCCAGGAGAGGTGGGGAAGCTCCTCTGCAGCTTGGGAATGTGTCTGGGTGCTGTCAGCCCCGCTGGAAAGCCGGTGGTGTGGGCAGGGAGCACAGCAGGACTCGGACAGGGATGGCCATCCTGCTGCTCTGTGTCAGGGCTTGGGAGAGAAAAGGCCAGGGCAGGGGAAGCTGTGGCATGACGTGTGCAGTGACAGCCTCTGGTGTGTCCCCAGGTGCTGAGAGGGAAGGACAGAGGCAGCAAGAAGAGGCAGAACATGCTGAGCCAGCTCAGGCCGAGGTCCCAGCACACGGAGAGCCTCTCCCTGGTGGAGTTCATCAGACGTAAGTGTGCCAACAGCCCGATCCCACACAGGCAGCAGCTCCCTGCTGGTACACACACAGCCAGGCTGGGCCATGACAGGGCTGCAGTGCGCCAGGGAGCAGGGATGTTCCCCCTGTGCTCAGCCAGCTCCTGCATCAGCCCTTGAGATGCACCTTAGGCTCAGTGTTGGGTTTAAGCCCTGTACTCCCTGCCCACACTGCCCTGCTGCACCTCCTGCCAGCCACAGCACCCGGCCTTGGTCACTCTGAGTGCCACGTTCCTTCCCTGGCAGTGCCCAAGGCCAGGCTGGATGGGGCTTGGAGCAGCCTGGCACAGTGGAAGGGGGTGGAACGGGATGGGCTTCAAAGCTCCTTCCAACCCAAATCCTTCTGTGGCTCTGTGATTTATGGCTTTTGTGGACAGTAGGAACCAGAGGCCAAAACCTCCCCAGAGCCCAAACCCAGGCAGGAAGGAGGCTGCTAGCTGTGGGGCTGGAGCAGAGCTGTGGGAAGGGACAGAGCCCTTTGGTCAGAGGGGTTTGGGGGCTGCTCTTGCTCAGTCCTCAGGCCATGGAATCAGGAATCAGTCCCACAGCAGCACTGGCGACTTCTCATCCCCAAGAAACCTCATCAGACTCCCTCCTGCGAGGCTGGAGATGCTGTCCAAGGCAGGCTGACCTCCTGTCCCACCGAGAACAGCCAGCGCTGCCTGGGGCCGGGGTCTGGACAGTCAAAACCCAGAGGGAGATCTGAACCCAGTGCAATTAAATTGTTTGGAAATGAGTGGGCTCTTTATGCTGAAGGGGATCAGCTGGGCTTCAGTCTGTGGAGGCATCTGCTAATGGTTGGGATGTTTGGGTTTTTTTAAATACTCTGCACTTTGGCAACTACTTAAGAAAAGTGGCCCTCTGAAGTCACTCCGTGTCAGCCTCCTCCATATTTCCCAAATATTATCCCGTTAATTTATTGCAAATTCTCCGTGTTCTGAAGGTCAGTGCGGGGCAGGCACAGCCAGGCAGGCGTGGGCAGGCTTTTCTCCCGCTGGTGGCAGCGATTGCTCGTCAGCCTAATGCTCAATTAGAGGAGGCAGCCGGGGGTTTCTTCCCCCCCTGACCTTGTGGCACTGTCATTTAGAAACCTGTGTGATGGGAGCGCTGCGTGGGAGCAGACTGATGGTGCTCAGATGGGATTTTCACACCGGCGCTCTGCTCTGTGCCTCCGAAACACGAATCAAAATGAGCTCCCTGCTCCCGGCTGCGGAGAGCAGGAAATGTCTCACTCTGCTCCAGCTGCAGCTCTGGTTCGGGGCTGGAGGCAGTGCTGCCGTGTCAGGGCTGTGCTAATAAATCCGTTATTTCTCAGAATTTATCCCCCAAAGCCCAGTTCTGAAATAAATGAAGTGTCTGCTTTATGTCAGGAGAGCAGTCTTGCTGAAATCGCCAGGATCTCTAATACAAAACTGTTTAGAGCCAGGAATGGGGTGGCAGGTAGTGTCTGATGGTTACCTGGGGCAATCTGGGTGAAGCCCAAGGACTTCAGGGCTGGCTCATCTGCAAGTCACTGGAAAGAGAATTTCCTTCCCATTTCACCACTCTCCTGCTGGTTTTGTTTCCTCTCTCTGTTTCTCTTTTCACTGTTATTTTCTACATGATAATTTATGAAAGCAGCATTTGGAGATGAGATTCTCCAGCCTGAATCTCCTTGGAAGTGCCCCAGGCCAGGCTGGACGGGGCTGGGAGCAGCCTGGGACGGTGGAAGGTGTCCCTGCCCTGGCAGGGGGTGGCACTGGGTGGGCTGTAAGGTCCCTCCCAACCCAAACCATGACTGTGGAGAAGGAAAGGCTTTTTCTGTGCGTTCTGTTGCTTTGGGGATACCCAGAGAGCAGAGTCACTCTAGTGGCAATTTCTGTGTCCTGCAAGCAGAGCTAGGGCAGCTTGGAGCCCGTCCATCCCACGAGGTGCTCCTGGGAGCCCCCGAACTTCCCTGGTGTGAGGGGCAGGTGCAGAGCCCTGGAGGGGCTGGGCAGGGAGGGCTTTTCCAGCCCAGCAGCAGCACCAGGATGGGCTGTGCACAGGGTCAGGCCAGGCTCTGGGGACACTCCAGCACTGAGGTCACTCAGCCCAGCACGGAGCTGGCTCCTCTGTCTGGACTCACACTGGGCACTGATCTTGGCTCTGGCACAGACACTCTGTGACACCAGCTCACACCCTGCTCCTCACACTCACAAATTCCTCCCAAACTCCTCCTGCTGCAGGCATCGGGTCTTCCTGCAGTAATGGAAAAGTAGGATTTAGCTTGCCTGAAGTCATTTCCATTGCTAATTTCCAGGCTTCTGTTGAAAACACCTGGGAGGATGTGCAGATTCTGGTGCACACACTGGGAATTAGCCCATTAAAGGTGATCTTCAAAGCAGTTGGAACGCTGCACTCGTGACTCGTTTGTTTCTCTTATGGTCCCTAAAGGCAGTTTCAAGGATATTTTCTGTTTATTATTTTAAAGTTTCCACTTGTTTTTCCTGTCTGCCCAGCTGCTTCTCTGGAGCTGCAAGGAGGATTCATTTAGGAATTGCAGAGGATGGAAATCTTGCTGCTCCCACCATGAAGTGGGGACCTGCTCAGCTTTTCACCTCCAATCTGAGGTGTGTGGTTTGATTGGAAAGACCAGAGACCTCCAGGGAAAAGGACTTTTTGATGGAAGATCCCCACAAAAGGCTGGATTGGCTCTCAGGAGATTTTTCAGCCAGCAAGCTGAGGTTTCATATCTGCAACATGGCTGAGAAATTCCAGGAATACTCTTCAAAAATCAGGACCTTTAGTGGTACTTAGGAGCAAAACCATCTTCCCCCTTGGGTTCACAGTGGAAAAATGCAGCTCCTTCCCTCTGTGCTGACTGCCAGCCTCCAGAGGGTCAGTATTCCAGGGTCCCTGGCCATGCTTTCTGTGCCTGGCCCCCTCTAAGGACCTGCTTTTGCAGCTCCCTACGATTCTGGCTGCTTGCCTGACCTGCGGGTAGAGCTGGAAGGGCGATGCTGCCATGAAGGGGAGTTCCACCTTTGGACATGGGCGACCCCACTGCACCCTCAGAGGGTCCTTTTGCCCTTCACAGAAGATTCAGGACAGCCAAAATCCATCTCCATCTGGGGCCAGCTCCCAGACAAGCCCCAGGGAGATCTCCCCGGTGCCGCTGCGCTGGAGCAGATAGAAAGATTGCCCCACTTGTTTGTCAGCTGCTAAAAATTAACACCGTTAATTTATGGCAGTCCTCTGCATTAATCCTCGCTGTTAATTCCTTATCTCTGCTCCAGCATATTGGCTGCCCAAGCCCTCGTCTGGGAGGCTCATCAGCAGTTTGTTTGGAAGTTGCCCTTTGCGTGCCAGCCCGAGCAGGGGAAGGCGGTGGGGGAGTAGAAAGTGGCTTTGGGACGTGCAGGAAGGGGACATTGCTCCAGGAGGGACAGGGGCAGCTCCCAGCTGGCAGCATGGGGCACCCTGAGCCCCTGGCAGCAGGGGCTGCCTGTGCTGGGCAGGCTGCAGACCTCTCCTGCTCAAGGGTTCAGCCCTAGGGCAGTTTTTTTGCTGGAGTGTTCCTTGCTTGTAATCAAAAAATGCATTTTTCATAGTTTCATTTTTTCATTGAAACAAAAAGGACACTGAAACTGCTACCACAGCAAACAGATAAATTAACTTTTAATGACTTCCCATCTACTTTTCTATTTGTTTTAGCAGAAGCTCTGCCAGAAAGCTGCAAGGAAGGGGGTGGAACGAGATGAGTCCTTTCCAAGCCAAACTCTTCTGTGGTTCCCTGATCAATATTTTGCTGTAGCCCTGCTCCCTGTGCAACAGGTGCCCCTTGTCCTTTCAGGTTTTCCCGTGGTGCTGCTGAGGAACCTGCGGCACCCCGTGTACCTGCTGGTGGTGCTGGCTCAGGTCAACATCTCTGCCATGGTTGCTGGATTAGCAACCTTCATGGGCAAGTTCCTGGAGAGACAGTTCTCCCTCACAGCCTCCCTGGCCAACATGATCATTGGTAAGTGGTGCTGAGCTTTTGATTCCTTAAAAAACCATCTAGAAATCAGGAAAAGTTTCTCTAGAGTAAAGCCTCCCTCTCAGAGAGTTCAGAGATCCTGCCACAGAAGTGTTTAAAACACATTTTTGAGCAAACAGCACCTCAGGGAAGGAGGCCTCTGAGGTCTGCGACAGGCAAATCAGAACAAAGTGAGCAGAGCAGAGTGGCAGAGCCAGGGCTGAATGCAGCAGCAAGGTTAGACACTGAAGCAGTGCTGTCCTGCCCCAGGTGCCCAGCTGAGCTGCTCCCAGCCTTGATTTACCCTCTGCATTCAAGTCAGCACCGTGTTCCGTGGATGAATTTATCTGGCCTTTGTTCTCACCACTCAGTCTCGCTTGGCCTTTTTCTTTCAGATCAAAAAGCTTTCTGTAGCTGGAAATTCCTTCCTTGCGTGGGTATTGAGGGGCTGAAAGCAACCTCCCCGTGAATTCTTAGCTGAATTGAACAGTTTGCATGTCTCTAGATGAACTTTGGGCTCCTCCCCAAAAATGGGAGGTTTTATGTAAATGGAGTTTTATGTAAATGGGGTTTTATGTAAATGGGGTTTTATATAAATGGGGTTTCACAAGGGTGACCACAGAAATGGGCACAATCCTGCTCTGCACAGAAATTAAACATCCTCCCAGGCTGACTAGGTGCTTCTTCCTGTCAACACTAAAAAATCACATTTTGCTGCGCGAGGCACAGATTTCCACTGCTCCTGACAGCTTCCACCCATGGATCCATAAGGCAGCCAGTTTGCTGTGGGATCCTTTTGAAAAGCAGCATTTTCCTAGCATTATTCCACCAGTCCCTGCAAAAACCTTGGTCCCTTCTGAACCCCCTGTGCTGAAAAATAGCAACCCAACAGCAAATCCTCTGGGCCTTTGCTGTGAGAAGGACTGGCACAGACCAGAGATGGAAAACGAGGTACAGTGATAGGACAAAGGGGGATGGCTTTAGATGGGGTGTTAGGAGGGAATTGTTCCCTGGGACAGTGGGCAGGCCCTGGCACAGGGTGCCCAGAGCAGCTGGGGCTGCCCCTGCATCCCTGGAATGTCCCAGGCCAGGCTGATGGCTTGGAGCAGCCTGGGGTGGTGGAAGGGGGTGGAAGTGGGTGATGCTGAAGGTTCCCTGGTTGCATGCCTGCCTTTCCCAGGTGCTGTGAACATCCCCGGGGCCATGGTCGGCATCGTGGTGGGCGGTGCCATCCTGAAGCGGTTCCAGGTGTCCCTGAGGCAGTGCAGTGCCCTGTGTGTGCTGGGCATGCTGCTCTGCCTGCTCACCGCCTTCCCCCTGCTCTTCCTGGGCTGCCCCACGCAGAAGGTGGCGGGTGTCACCCACTGGGACAGGTACCACGCTCCTGGGCTGGGCACAGGGTGGGCACACCCCAGCCACAGACACGTTCCTGGGCGTGGGAGCCAAGCAGAATCCCCAGAAATGGGTTTATTCCCTCAGGAGGAGCAGCTAGTGGAGGTAAACTAAGAAAATCTGAGTCTGCTGTGACCTCAGGTTTAGGGCAGAAAATGTACAGCTTGCCTTCGTGACTTACCCCACACATGGTGGAGTCATTTCAGCTTTTTCTCCTACGGGTTAAAACCTTTTTAACACGAGATTTTTTAGGAGAAGGGTTGTAAGGGTTCCACCAGTGAGATTTCCTACTGAGGAGCAAGCGTGGAACCCAAAGTAAACACATTTTTGGCACAAACAGCACAACTTTTCATCTTGGGAAGCGTGGTGGATGATGAATTCAGACAGGGGCCAGCCCTGGGATCACACCATCCAAATGTGGGCAGGAGCTCCTCGTGTGCCCTCGAGGCTGGATCAGGTCTCTGAATTCCCTGTTCAGTGTCCTGTGGTCCGGGCCCTCAGGGGGATCCTCCCTCCTCCCACAGCGTGGTGTTGTAAGAACCCCAAAGGAGAGGTTTGGGACCAAGAATGAGGGCAGTGGGTGGCTCTGGTGCCCAGGGCTGTTGGGAAGCTCTGCCAGGCAGGGCAGAGGTTGGGGTGATGGTGGGATTCCCGTGGGGAAGGGCTCCTTGTGCAGTCAGGTGGGTTTTGCTGACCCCAGCACGCACACAGTCAGTTTTCCCTGTGAGCTGCCTGTGGGTGCTGCTCCCTGCCTGCATTAACCCTTTCCTGGGCGCAGCTCTGGCTCTGGCCACCACGCCATGGCGTGCAACGCGCGGTGCCGCTGCCCCGAGAGCGGCTTCAACCCCGTGTGCGGCTCCGACGGCGTGGAGTACACGTCCCCCTGCTCTGCTGGCTGCAGCAGCGTGGCCCTGCGCCCCGACAGCTCCGTCCTGGTGAGTCACAGCTGGCCACAGCTGCTCGCGCCCCGCCGGCCGTCGGGCTGCCCCGAGGAGCGGCTGTGTCACAGGGAATTGAGTGGGGGGTCGCAGTGCAGGGCTTTGCTCCTGCTGTGCCCTGCTGCTCTCGGGCCTGCAGGCAGAGCAGCTGAGCAAGGCTTTGCCTCTCAAACCCGACCTGCGGGGCGTTAGCAGCCGTGCAGGATGAGTGCCTTTGCTGCACTCTGGGCACAGGATGTGATGGCAGCGGGGAGCTGTCTGGGCAGTTTGCAGCAGCGTTTTGTTAATTAGCAGCGCTTCATTTTGATAACAGTTGTGCTTTCTGCCAGAGCTCAGTCCCAAATGTGCTTTCCTGCAGCCCCACGCCTGCCTTGTGTACAGCAGATCCTTTCCAACTGCTTTTTCCCTCCTCGGCCATGCCTCTCTCTTCCAGCCCTTGCTTTCTTGGAAACTTTACACTTTTCTTACCACTTTCAGCAGTACAGAGACCTGTGGCACTCATTGCCTCCTGCCTTCCCTGTCCCAGGGTTTCCAGGAACCCTCCCAGCCAGCAGAAAACCCTGCAATTGTGTGCCCAGCTTTGCTGCAGCCCTTCCAGAGGGCACCATGTAAGCGTGGATGTAGGAACCAGGTTTTGGGAGACCCTGAGCTGCCCCTGCCTCTGGGATCACTCTTCTGCAAACTCCCACCCCGTGACAACCAAAAGATCGTGCTCATTTTATCTCAAGGTCTCTTTAAAACAAAAAAAAACCCCAAACAACCCAGGGGTTTCTTGTTCAAAACTGAAAAAAAGAGAGAATTATGACTAAAAAACAGAGAAATGGAGAAATTCCTCATCCATCACCCCAAGGCATCGTTCCTTTGCTATAAGGCTGTGCTAGATATTCATGAGCCTCTCTCAAAGGTGAGGTTCTACACGTTTGATTTAACACTCCCTGAGCTGTGGCTGCAGCTCTGCCTGGGATGCAGAGGCTCGCAGCAGGACAGCGCCTGGCACAGGTGGCACAGCCACCCTCACAGCCAGGAATTCCCCCCAATATCCCATCCATCCGTGCCCTCTGGCAGTGGAAGCCATTCCCTCATCCCCAGTCTCTCTCCAGCTCTGCTGGAGCCCCGGCCATGGCTCTGAGCTCTCCCCAAAGTACTGAGTGCTAATTCCCGCTAATTATTCCCAGACAAACCCTACCTCCTCTCCTTCGCCCTGGCGGCTGGCAGCGTTCCCTTCCATCTGCCCGTCCCCGGGCCCGTGAGCAGCCTCTGGATGTGCTCTCCTCTTTGCAGAACTACACCGGCTGCAGCTGCCTTGGGGCGCCGGGAGCGGCGCGCGTCGCCAGGCCGGGCACCTGCGGCACCGGCTGCTCTCACCTCTTCGTGCCCTTCGTGGTGCTCTCCTGCCTGGCAGGCATCCTGGCCAGCACCTCCCACACGCCGTCCTTCATGCTCATCCTGAGGTGGGCACACCTGGGCAGCCACAGAGGGCTTCCAGAGGGGATCTGTGGGGCAGGGGGAAGGATTTCTCCAGCCGCCAGACTGGGGGTTAAACCAGCCTTGGATGGGGGTTAAACCAGCCTTGGATGGGGGTTAAACCAGCCCTGGATGGGGGTTAAACCAGCCTTGGATGGGGGTTAAACCAGCCCTGGATGGGGGTTAAACCAGCCCTGCCTGGGGGTGAAACCAGCCCTGCCTGGGGGTGAAACCAGCCCTGCCTGGGGGTGAAACCAGCCCTAGATTGCAGGTGGCAGCAGGATGGAGCCAGCCAAGATGGGAGCCCAGGCTGGTGGGGCTGGTCCCCAGGATGGCTAAAGCTGAGGCAGAGGGGAGAGCCGTGGGGGAATCTCTGTCTTAGTCTGTAAATGATACTTTCAAGCTCTTCCTGGGCCTGGCAGGATTTTCAGGCCAAGAAAAGGCCATGGGCAGCGTTCAGCCCTAATGAATGAACCCTCATCAGCTTTGGTGATGTGACTGGGAACTCCCTGGGATGCTTGGTGGCTGGGCTGAAGGACGAGTGTGTGGGTGAGGTGCTGTGCCAGGGAGGGAAGCATCCATCCTGGAGGGATTGCCAGAGGGCATTTTGTTCCATTTTGTTTTTCAGGAGCATCCAGCCTGAAGACAAATCATTTGCTGTTGGCATACAGTTCATGCTGCTGAGAGTTTTAGGTAAATTGAAGTGTGTTAAAATACCCTCCTGGAAAATGATGGCAGCTCTTGGAGAGGGCTTCCCCAGGGCAAGGAGAGATGCTGCCCTGCAGGGTCTGGGGGCACGTGGCAGGGATGAGACAAGGCAGCTCCAAGGGCTCCATCCCCGGTCCCTGGGGCCGTGGTTTTGGGGTGGCTGTGACACCTGGGGCCTGTTTCGGGGTGCCTGTGCCCTGGGTCCATGGTTTTGGGGTGGCTGTACCCTGGGTCCATGGTTTTGGGGTGTCTGTGCCCTGGATCCATGGTTTCGGGGTATCTGTGCCCTGGGTCCGTGTTTTTGGGACGTCTGTGCCCTGGGTCCGTGGTTTCGGGGTGTCTGTGCCCCGGGTCCATGGTTTCGGGTGGCTGTGCCCAGGTCCATGGTTGCAGGTGGCTGTGCCCTGGGTCCATGGTTTTGGGGTGTCTGTGCCCTGGGTCCGTGGTTTCGGGGTGTCTGTGCCCCGGGTCCATGGTTTCGGGTGGCTGTGCCCAGGTCCATGGTTTCGGGTGGCTGTGCCCAGGTCCATGGTTGCAGGTGGCTGTGCCCTGGGTCCATGGTTTCGGGTGGCTGTGCCCGGGTCCGTGTTTCCGGGGTGGCCGTGCCCTGGGTGCCTTTTTTGGGTGTCTGTGCCTGGCTCCATGGTTTCGGGGTGTCTGTGCCCGGGGGCAATCATTTGCTGTTGGCATACAGTTCATGCTGCTGAGAGTTTTAGGTAAATTGAAGTGTGTTAAAATATCCTCCTGGAAAATGATGGCAGCTCTTGGAGAGGGCTTCCCCAGGGCAAGGAGAGATGCTGCCCTGCAGGGTCTGGGGGCACGTGGCAGGGATGAGACAAGGCAGCTCCAAGGGCTCCATCCCCGGTCCCTGGGGCCGTGGTTTTGGGGTGGCTGTGACACCTGGGGCCTGTTTCGGGGTGCCTGTGCCCTGGGTCCATGGTTTTGGGGTGGCTGTACCCTGGGTCCATGGTTTCGGGTGGCTGTGCCCGGGTCCGTGTTTCCGGGGTGGCCATGCCCTGGGTGCCTTTTTTGGGTGTCTGTGCCTGGCTCCATGGTTTCGGGGTGTCTGTGCCCGGGTCCATGGTTTCGGGTGCCTGTTTCGGGGTGTCTGTGCCCAGGTCCATGGTTTCGGGTGCCTGTTTCGGGGTGTCTGTGCCTGGATCCATGGTTTCGGGTGCCTGTTTCGGGCGGGCCGGGCTGACGCTGTGCCTGTTGCAGCGTGGATGCCGGGCCCGGTGCTGTACGGCAGCGCCATCGACACCAGCTGCGTGCTGTGGGAGAGGAGGTGTGAGCGCAGGGCAGCCTGCAGATACTACGACAATACCCTCTTCAGGCACAGGTAGGGAGGACACCGCGACAATCCCCTGTGCCAAGCACCGGGAACACCCAGGGATGCTCCCTGTCCCTGGGCCGCGCAGCCGGGGGCCACGGAGGGTCACTCCAGGACAGCTCCCTGCTGGGGCAGAGGCTGTGCCTGGAACAGCCTCCCCAGAGTCCCAGGGGTGCTGCTTGGAGCGCTCAGGAGCATCCCTGCTGCCCTGACCTGCTGTGCCTGTGCCCCACAGGTATCTGGGGCTGCAGTTCTTCTTCGAGGTGGGCGCCTTCCTGTGCTTCGGGGCCGTGTATCTGATCCTCAGGAAGCAGGAGAGGGAAGCCAGCCAGGCAGAGGAGACAAAGGCCGAGCCAGAGAAGGAGAAACTGGCAGGAAGGTCCACAAAGAGCCCGGAATCCAAAGTGTGACAGCGAAATGTGGATTGTGATCCGTGCTGGGGAGGTGAATCAGCCCACAGCCGAGCTGGGCAGGGTGGATGCTTGGAGTGATGGACCCGGGGCTGCTTCCTGCTCTCTCGGCTGGGATGGACTCTTCCTGCACTGCATGGATCCATCCACACGTTGTTCTCCTCCTCAGGGCTGCAGCTTGTCCCTCCACATGGATTAGTCCTCACTCTTTAACCCATGGACTCTGCAGCATCCTGGGTTTGTGTCCTGCAAAGCAGTTTTTCCTGCTGACCGTCTCGGGACGCCAGCACTGAACAGTAACCATAAATCTGAAGGGTTCTGTGGAGTGTTTTTTTTTTAAATAAATCATTTTTAAGAAATGGTTTTGTACTGAACCCGCAGATCTCTGTGACTGATGTTTATAATTCTTATTTTCTGTGTTATCAGCACTTACTTTCTGATGGTCAGTGCTTGAAGCACGTGGGAGTTCAGGCGTATTCCTGGTTTGCAGTTCAAGAAGGACAGAACTTTTCCCAGGGTTGCAGGATCAGAGGACGAGGTTGGAGCCCTCTCCAGACTGGGTAGAGCTTGTGGCCAAACCATCTGAGCCCAGCACCAGGCAGCCCTGGGCTCCCTGGAGGGGGTTCTGTCTGTAATTATGGGGTGGAAGTCCAGCCTGGCGCTATTTTGGTTCAGCTGCCTCTATTTCCCACATTCTTCCCATCCTGGGGCTCCTTCCCACCCAGCAGTGAATTGTGTTACCCAGCCACAGCCACTGGGTAACTTTGTCATTTTTGGCTGCAGGATGGAATTTAGTAGAGAAAACAAAACTTGTAAGTTCAAATATGCAGAAAAGAAATACACAGAGGGGAAAATTCATTCCCTCCTCCCACCCTGGCAGATATCCTCTGGGAAGGGCTGGGTGTGCAGAGAAGTAAAAGGGAGAAAGACTGTGGTGAAGTGACTGAATTTAGCAATTTCCCCAAACTGTTTGCCTGGCCATTCTGAGGGACCCAGTTACCTCAGTGCGGACTAGGAGGTGGATTGGAATTTTTTAGGGGTTTGGTTTGGGGTGTTTTTCCTATTTTTGTGCAGTGCCTTGTGTTCACTGAGCTGAGAGTTTACAGCCCTGCTCAGGGTGCCAAGAAGTGATGTCTGGCTTCAGAGAAGGTTCTGGAAGGCAGAGGATGTTGCAGGGGTGTAGGTGCAGCCGTCCAGGGAAGGACGAGTAGCATTTGCTGACCACGACCTTTAGAAAGCCAAAACTCTGAGACTTTTGCTCTATCCTCTTTTCCAAAGCCCTGCCAGGCAGCATCTGTTGCTAGAGCAGCAGGAGAGGGATGGGACGAGGTTCTTTGGGCAGGAGCAGGGAGGAGATGGGTCGTTCCAGCCGCTGGCAGCCCAGGAATCTGTGGCATCCTCGGAGAAGAAGGTTCTTTCCTGGCTGAGCACAAGCCTTGGCTCCCGGGCACTGTCCTGCTGTGCTCAGCTGAGGCCCAAGTACTCCAAGGTACTTTCCACACCACAACAAACAAACAGCAGCACAATTTGCTCCAGTGGCATGGGAAGTGGGGAGCTGCAGTGTGCTTTGCCAGGAATCTGACAGGGATTCCAGTCTTTGCCCGTGGAAGTGTGCAAGCCCAGGCTGGATGGGACTTGGAGCAACCTGGGGTAGTGGGAGGTGCCCTTGCCCATGGCAGCGGGTGGAATGGGATGAGCTTTAAGGCCTTTCCAACCCAAACCATTCCATGGTTCTCTCCCCCATCCCGCTGGAGCCCCTCAGGGCTGTGCAGCCCTTCTAAGAGCCCCTCAAGCCACTGAAAGCAGTGGTTCCATTTACAGAAAGGGGGGGGGAAAGGGGATAACTAAACCCTTTCCCAAAATGAACAGGGAGTTTAGCTGCCTGTGGTGCTGCTGCAGGTGGCAGGCAGGCTGCACATCCCTGTGCTGCCTGGTTGGGATCCTGAGGGATGCACAAGGGGCCTGCAGGATGGCCTGGCCAGCTCACTGCCAGCCCCTGGGCTCAGGGCTGCACGTTCATTCTCCATTGGAAAGCTCCCATCACACCACAGAAAGGTCTGGTTCAGGCAATGCACGGGCTGGCACAGCCCAAATTCTTCCTTCCCTCATTACCCCTCCAGCAAAGGACAGGTCCCTGTGGATAAACATCCAAAGCACCTGCAAGCTGTCTTAGCTCTAGGCTTGTTACTCTGCTTTTGCTCTGGTAATTTCCATCCATTTGGGCTGGAGTTTCTAAAAAGAGAAATAAACCCCATTTCCCCATCCCCTCCCCTGTGCTCTTTAAGAACACGGTTGAAAGGGACTGGCTTGCAAGGGAAGATGAAAGAGAGGCACTTTGGAAAGGCTGCTCCCACAAAGCCCAGGGAATATGAAAGGGCTGGCAGCAGCGAGGGAGCAGCAGGAGCAGTGCTTGATGCGGGGCAAGGGGCAGGCAGGTAGGAGGGCTGCACAGAAAGGGAGCAAAGGAAAGGGCAGCAGCAGCAAAATCCACCCTGCGCCGTTTGCTGGGTTCTCCCCAGAGGAGATCTCCCCTGCAGACAGCCTGGAGCAGAATTTACAGAGCTCTGAAGGTAGAGCTTGGGCACCAGCCAGGAATTGCATTGGGGGGTCACCAGGAGCTAACCCAGCTGGGCCAGAGCTCCGTGGACTTCCTGGAACTGCAGCACTGGATGTTTTCAAGCAGCACTTTGTGGTACCAGGGGTCACAGACCTGGAGGCAGAGCGGTGCCTTTAGGGCTGGTGAGAATTGCACAGGGTCAAGAGAAGGAATTAGAACTGGAGGGAAGGACCCACAGCACTCACAGAGCCAAGAGCTGCTTTAGAGCCGAGCACAGCTCCCGTTCCTCTGGAAAAAGAGCAAAGCTGAACCTTTAAATCACCCTCGGTGTGTCCAGCTCAGCCAGATCTCTCCCTGGAGTGCTCCTGGCCACTGCTGCAGCCAGACCCACAGGGTTTCTCCTGCTTCACTGCTGGTTTTCCAAGGGATAGGGACAGTCCCAAGTGGATTCAGTGGCTGTTTGCAGGGGGCCAGCAAAACACCAATCAAAACCCACTGGATGTTTCTCTTAAAACTCACTGGAGCTGCCTCTGGCAACCTGAAATCTGCTCCCAGGAAATGCTGGCTGAGGAGACACAGTTTGCAGGCACAAGACAAAGAATTGCTGTGGCTGGGACTGAGGCAGAGCTGTGGGTGGGATGCAGCCCCCAGGCTGGGGAAGAGGAAGGCAAACAACTGTAGATGTTACACTGAAGTTCAGGAAAACCTGGGAAGTTCCCAGAGGAACACTGAGAAGACGAGCCAAGGAATCACTGAAATGCTACCACTTAAAACCACAATTCCCAGAAACTGGAGGTTTCCAGGGATCTCAGAAGAGGAAAACAGAGCAATCAGGCAGATCCAGACCCAGCCCAGCGCAGGTCCCTGGAAAGATGCTGAAGAGATGACTCAGTCACTTGGAGGAGGGTGTCATGGATTGTCTCACACAGAGCACAGCAAACGTTTCATTTCTCCTGCAGGCAGGCACCTGTCCCACCTGTGGAAGCTTCCTTCCTGACTGAAGGAAGGATTTTGACCCTGTCCCACCTTGTTCCCATAAACCAATTACCAGCCAGATGGAGTTATGCAGAGAGGAGAAAAAGAGGAGAAAAACAGGCTTAATTGGAAAGCTTCAGCTCCAGGAGCTGCAGGTAGTTTGCTGCCTGCCCAAAAGGATTTATCTACAAGAATCTCACCAGGGTCTGTCCTGTCTCTAGGACTAATCAATATTTTAATTAATTACTTGGACGATGAGAGAAGCAGGAGCTAATAAAATTTCTGCTTACGGTCGTGAGTGCTTTGGACTGGAATCCAAATAATTCAGAGCAGATTGGAGAAATGGTGTGAAATGGATAGTACTGGGATTTACAAGAGCAAAACAGTGGTGCAGGGGAAGGGGGGCTGGGGTGCAAAGCTTGCTCTGTGAGAAAGGGGATGTGGCAGCAGCTCCTAATGGAGCAGAAGAGTTTTGGGCTCATTTTGTCCCTTTAAATTAAATTGGCATTCTCCACAATTCTTTGGCTGTCCTGTGAGGGGGAGAAACGACCCCTTGCACTTGGAGGCACAAAATTATCTCCCCATGCTGCTGAATTGAGTGAGTTTCCCTGCTTGTTGCCAAGTGCATCTCCTCCAGCTGTGCCCTCTCGAAGGTCCAAGCAAACAGAGCAGAGTAAATCAGGAATTATCTCCTCTGCTTAGAGACAGGTTGAGTAATGATTACTCCTGAAATATGGAATTCATCTTTGGGGCTTAATGGACTTGCAGTGGAGCTGCAGGAGCTAGTTGCTGAGGGTTCTGAAGTGCTTGTGGGCAGGGAAGAGCATCCTTTATCCTGCAGAGGGATGAGAGCTGGCGCTGCTCCCCCGCCTCAGCCCAGCCCCGCTGCATCTGGTGCTTCCAGGGTGCTGAAGGACAGAAGTGCTTTCACACAGAGCTGACAGAGGATTCTAATCCCTCTCCCCTCACTTTTCAAGTGAGAATGGCATTTGCTAAAGAGACCAGAACCTGAAGTGGTTCCAAGCTGTGCACACTGGTGCAACTTTCTGAGCAAACTCGGGAAAAATAACTTCCCCTGGGAAAACTTGCTATTGAATTGTTCTTGCTCTCACACCTGCTGTCAGAAAAGGCTTCCCTTTCCACCCTCCCCATCTCCTGTTTGTCCCAGTGCCATGACCTAATCACACACTGGGCACTGAATGTGTCGCAGTTGCACTCACAAAGCTTTGGGTCTCTGTGCTCATCTTTCTTTTCCCCCACAGTTTCTGATTTCTTGGGACTGCAGGAGTGCTCTGGAGCAGGGGCTGGGCACCAGCCATGAGATATCCCAAAACCTCTGGTCTGGGAGATGGGAATTGCCTGTGTGTGAAAGCAGTGCAGGAGCAGTAAATCCAGGAGGATGGAGGCGGCATGCTGAGAAATGGAGACACTGTTGATGGTAACCAAAGTGGGAACACTGGGGAAGCCCAGTTCCCAGCATGCCTGATGGGGTACAGCCCCCACAAACCCAGGACAGGACAGGTCCATGAGGATCAGCCCCAGAGGAAGGAGATGGCAGCAGCTGTGCCTGACTCACAAAAGCCAAAATAAGATTTTAAGGCAAAAGACACCAGCTCCACACCCCTTTCCAAAAGCTATTTGTTATTGCAAACAAAGAGGAATCAAAGGAAGATGGAAAGGCCTGGGTATTTTGGAGGCCTGGCATCATTCCTGGGATGGTCCTGAGCAGACTGAGGCACACAGACCTTGGCACAGACCTGTGGGCAGCAGAGGGGGACTGGGGGAAATCCAGGAGCAAGAGCATGGAATTCAGCTGGACTAAAGGAAGTGTCCCTTTCCTAT